TCCTGCTGCACATGGAAGCGTGATGGGTATTTCAAGAAACGCACTTGTGCAACTGTTTGAACTAGCCACATGTTTCATGGAACTCTCATTATTTGAAAGAATGACAGACAAACTGTGGTTTCAGATTTGGGTATCTCACAGACATCCTCAAAAATGAATGAAGCAAACTTTTTACTTGAAGAAAAACTGATAGCATTTATCTCAATAATAAAATTTGAGCTTTTAAATAAAAATTTAAATTTTGGAAAACTTGTATCTGCCACCATGAGCTTGACAGCTTCTCAATACCTAAAGGCTTTTATGATGAGCTAGGCGGAGATATTAACAAATGTGTTGTTTTATAATACATGAAAATTGCCAACATTTAGAACATCTGCATAACTCGGTGAGCCAATATTTTCCAAATGACCAATGCACGATGTTACAAAATCATACGTGGGGAAAACAGCCGTTCAAAATGCAAGATGGACTAACGGACTTGAATGTAACAGAGTTGAAAAAGTTCATTGATAGGACTTTAGATTCCAAATTGCAGCTAACCTTTAAAAATCTACCACTTGTCTAGTTTTGCTGTTGTATCAAAGAATAGCCACAATCATCTAAGAAGACTGTACCAATACTCCTTTTCCAATTGCATATCTGTATGAAGCCACATTTTCTTCATATTGCAACAGATTGCAGAAACAGGTAAGAAAATCCAGCTGTCTTCTATCAAGCCAATCATTAAAGAGTTGCACAAATGTAAAGCAATGTCAGTCTTCTCTCTAATTTTTTTGTTTTGTAATATATATTTCACAAAACATGATAATTATGTGGATATTTAATGAAATTGTTTTTAAATGAAGTAATGAGTAAATATTTAAAATTTTTCTCAGTCTTAATGTCTTATACAGAAAATATTGATAGATAAAACCCACAGAAACAGAGGCTCTTTTAGATATTCCGTGATTTTTTAGAGTGTAAAGGGGTTTAACATCACAGTTTGGAATCATTGGTTTAGACCACAGGAAGCAGGACTGGGGGTACAGTGGGAGATTTGGGAGCATAAGGAAGATTTTAAATAGCCATTGATTTTTTTCCTTATAACTTCAGAATATTAAAAAACATAAAGCTCTATTAGAGAGTTTCTATTTGTTGGGGTTTGGTTAAATGGGTTTTTACCACTTAGTCAAGGGAGCAGGATGGTATATTGGAGTCTGATAAACCTGAATTTGAATTCTGGCTGAGGTAACCAAAGGGAAATCACCAAAACTCCTACCCTCAGTTTTTGGATGTGTGGGGATAATAATATCTTAGATGGGTTACTGTGAGGATAAAACCTCATGTAAATCTTCACCACTTAAAGTATGTCCTGTGGACCAGCAGGGGGTTAGCAATGCTGAATACCCCAAACTCTGAATTGTGATCCACATTGTGGTGAGATTCCCAGGTGATCTTACGCACATTAAAGTTTGAGAAGCACTAATGTAAGGCACCTAGCAGAATGTCTGCCTGTCACATAGTAGGTGTTCAATTAAAATTCTCTTTCTGTTTAGAGAAAGACAAACACTGTATTATTTCACTCATATGTGGAATATAAACTAACACACGGACAGAGAGAACAGTTTGGTGGTTACCAGGGGGAAGGAGGTTGGGGGATGGACACAAGGGGTGAAGGGGCACATTTATATGGTGACTGGCAAATAGTAATGTACAAATGAAATCTCACAATGCTGTAAGCTATTATGACATCAATTTAAAAAATTCTCTTTCTGTTTAGTATTCTTCTTCAGCTTATAGATATAATTATTTCAGCCTTTTAGACTAAAGTAATTGGTTTGATTTTAAAAAACTCATCTGACCAGTTAGTTTCTTTTTCATTATTATCAGCCTAAAGTAATCCTCCAACTCATTTGAAAGATTTGTAACTTCCAGACCTATGGTCTGGACTCTAGAGTGTCTCTGTCCCTCCTTTTAATTTACTTATTCACTCAGCACGTATCAAACACCAATATGTGTTAGGGACTATGATGACACTACAGAAACAGTATGCAAGACCGACATGGTCCTCATTCTTGTGACGCTCAGCTAAAAGAGACACTAAAACGAGCCAAAATGCGGCATTTGTAGTTCTCAAGAAGTAAAGCTTTGTCAATATAGGGGAGTAGCATACACTTTAAAAAATCTCCAGAGTATTTTTTTCCTTTTTTGGGTTTTCTAAACTTGTATTAATACGGAAAATACTTTCCTTACATCATATAATGCTTCTTGTTTTGAATCCTACGTTGTCTTATGATAGTATTGCTTACCCCAAAATTTTTTACTTGCCTGCCATAATTTTGACCATTGCTGGATTTTTTAACTCTTCTAACATGAATTATTGTTCCAACTTACTTCAAAAAAAATTTTAATTGAGGTTAAAAAAACACATGACATAAAATGTACTGTCTTAACCATTTTTAATTTGCTGTTCAGGAGGGTTAACTATACTCACAGTGTTGCAAACAGATCTCTAGAATTTTTTCATCTTGTAAAACTGAAACTCCATACCCATTGAACAACAACTCGCTGTTTCCCCCTCACCCCAGCCCTTGGCAACCAAAATTCTACTTTCTGGTTCTATGAGTTTGACTATGTTCCATACCTCATTTAAGTGGAATCATATAGTATTTGGTTTTTTATTACTACCTTAGTTCACTTAGCATAATGTCCTCAAGTTTCATTCATGTTGAGCATGACAGGATTTCTTTCCTTTTTAAGATTGAATAATGTTCCACTGTGTGTATATACCACGTTTTCTTTATCCATTCATCCATTGATGGACATTTGGGTTGCAGAAGCTATTGGGAATCATGTGAATGATGTGAATGTGAATACCTCTTGGCTATTGTGAATAACGCTGCAGTGATCATGGGTGTGCCTCCAGAGTACCTGGATTCCAGATGTAGACACTAATCCATCCCCATGCCGGAAAATAGTTCTTGACTGTAAGTAAGAACTACAGGCTTGAGCTGGCAGGGAGGAAAAGGGGGGCCACTTCTGGTTGGATCCCATCTCTGGCTGTCCCAGCAATAGCAGAGGAAAGGAGAAAATAGCCTGAATCACTCAGAGCAGAGCGAGTTTCCTGTCTGAAAGGAAGGCACTAACTTGAATTGAATGCCAACCATGTGCAGGACACCACGCTAGGCACTTTCACATGTGTTGAGGGGATACGTGGGAGGTTTCTTGAATTAAGATAATTACGACAATAAAGATAATTTTTTTCAAATTCCCATGATTATGTATAAACAATAATGAAACCAGTGACCACCAACATCAGGAACAGGCCCAGCAGGGGAGGATAGCAGAACCTTAGCATGGAGAGGGCTTATGTTATTTGAAAAGAGAGTTAACTGAGAAGAGAATATATTCAAATTTCAAATATAATACAAAGTACTGAAATTTAAGCTTAATAAGGAAATGTGAGTCTGTGTGGCTGAGGCAGCAGAAACCAATCTCACAAAGGACACAAAAGCCCCTGCCAGGGTTCTAACCTGATGTTCTTAACTCCCCAGATTGCTGGTTAAATAAATCATTTTTTGCTGAAAGCTAGTCTTTAAAGAACTTTAGTTTCACTTGGGGGCCCCAGAGTCTGTATCTGGGCTCCCAAGTTATGCCTGTAGATGACATTCCTAATAAAATCAGTTCATACACAAACATCAAGACCAAGGTTGAGCTTCCCTGGGGACTAGGAGACATGCCTTCAAGGAGGCACAGGAAACCATCGCAAACCTGAACCACTTAAACTGACTTTCATCGATTTCTTTTTTTTTTTTTTTTGCAGGGAAGGATTCACCCTGAGCACCCTGAGCTAACGTCTATTGCCAATATTCCTCTTTTTTTTTTCTCCCCAAAGCCCCAGTGCATGGTTGTATATCCCAGTTGTAAGTCGTTCTAGTTCTTCTATGTGAGCCACCATCACAACATGTCAGTTGCCATGACAGACAAGTGGTGTGACTCCATGACCGGGAAGTGAACCCAGGCTGCCAAAGCTGTGAGAACACTGAAGTTTAACCACTAGACCATCAGGGCTGGCTCTCACTGATTTCTTTGAGTCCATCATTTCAGCGCTTAGAGAAGGGGAGAAGGATTAGTGCAGACTCAAGTTGTTGGCACCACTTTACTGGAGCTACTGTGCTTGTAACCGTAGCAAACATGGTTATTTTATGGTACAGGGAAGCAGAGAAGGCACTGGCCTGAGGGTCTGAGATGGGTTCTAGTTCCAGTTTGGCCACCAACTAGCTGGGTGGCTTCAGACAAGTGCCTTCCCCTTGAATGTGAGCTTACCTTCTGTAAATCCCAGCAGCATTAGGACAAGAATAGCTCCATTCCTGTCAGCTCTAACATTCTGTGAATTAACCAAATCACCGGACCATTGTATCCATTCTACTTTTTATTTGGCCTTTGTTCATTTGATACATATATACATATATAAAAATCTGTACATGGTAAAAATACAAAATAAGTATTTCTTTATAAGTTATGCAATTAAACAGCTACCTTTTCAAAGTTTAAAAATCATCGCAAAAAAAGAGAAGGAAATCTAGTCAGTCCTTTATAGTCATTCACAATAACCTTGGTATAAAATATCCATACAACACATATGTACAAAATAGTGTACAGTTCATAAAAGCTGTGCAAAGACAGCAAAGTTCAGTAAAAAGAAAAAAAAAATCAAAGAGGCTTGTGGGTCTCTCTGTTCACATCACACCCAGAGCTCAGGAGCTTTGTAGCTCCATGAAACCGCCCCAGAAAGAATGAAAGGGCATAAGGTAGAGTGCTTGGTGCATACACTGTGGGTGCAGAAATTATGAAGCAGCAGCCTCGGAACACACATACAGAAATAGACACTGATTCTTCCTCCCGTTTAGAGAACTCACTTCTTTGCCCAGAAAGCATTTGAAATATCAGAGAAAAGACTCAGGATTTATGTTGTGCCTGAGACCAGAAGGCGCAGAGAGAGATTTTTTTCTATTCTTACATTCTTGAGCTTTCTAAGGGCGCTGCTATGGGAAGACTGGGTTACCACACTCTGGAGTTGGATGGGAGGCCCTTGCTACCTAAGACAGGGAGGCGGAGGGATCTAGGAAGTCAGCGGTCTTGGAGTCCACGCTCCATGGTTCGACTCCTAGCTCTCCTCCACAAAAGGTTTCCTACGTTAGAGGGTTGTGGCTGCTGAAGGCCAGCGGGGCCTGGCTCACAGCTAACGCCAGGCTGTGGGAGTGGAGACCCCCGCTGTGTTTAAATTACCTTGCAATAAACAAGAGAGTAGCCCTCGTGAAAGAGTTAAGGCTGGGACCAAGACCTAAATTTAACCTAGGTAAGAGGGATGTTGGCAGGTGGTGTGGGGGAAGGAAATGTTATTTCGGGCAATGGAAGGGGCTGGGGGCCCTTGACGGGGTGGCAGTGGGGAGCGGCGGCTTCTGGGCAGCGGGGACTGAGTGAACACGCAGACTGGATCCCACCTCTTCAATTTCAAAGCCCTTATTCACAGCACCCCGGCGCGGGAGGGCTTCTAGGACACGGTGATCTCCTCCTCCTCGCCCTCCTCATCCTCCTCCGAGTCGGAGAAGTCCGAAGGTTTGCCGGGGCTGCTCGAGTGCGCGGGCGAGTGGGGCAGCGGCCCTTCGAGCCGCGGGTCCTGCAGGTGCCGAGCGTCCGGGGCCGCGTGATAGGCCAGGCGGTGGCGGGGGCTGCCCCGGGCCTCGTCTTCCTCCTCGTCGTCCCCCGGGCCCTTCTGGCCCACGTCGCTGAGGTCCGGGTGCGGGTTGAGTTTGGTGGGAAGGGTCTGCTCGCGGCAGCCCCCGCTAGACAGGAGCTCACGCTCCTTGGAGTTCCGCCACTTCATGCGTCGGTTCTGGAACCAGATTTTCACCTGGGACGCGAGGCGCGGAGAGAGCAGGGGAGAAGCCGAGGTTAGCGCAGACCCTCCCCGCCAAGGGCGCGGGGGAGGAGCGCCGGCAGGACCATGGGGCTGGGGTGGTGGACTCTGTCCTGCTTCCCCTCCTTGCCGCTCCCCACCCCCTGAAGTGACTTCAGATGGGTCACCCTACCCTCACTCCACCTCCGTTCCTCTTGCTCCTGCCCCATCCCCTCATCCTCCGGCACCTGGCCCAGATGGGCGCGGGTGGGGGGTCGCTGAGCGGGGGAAAGATGGGCCGGGAGAGAGCGGGCCGCTCTGAGGAGCCTCGAGGAAGATGGCTGGTGCATTCATTCCCTCTAGACCTGACTTTCCCCATCTGCACAATGGGACCTAGGCGGTTTCAGAGAACCCCCCCGATTGCAGGATGCGTGGGGGAGGGGCGAATTGTGGTGGAGAGGCCAGGGAGAAACCGCCCTCACCTGTGAGTCTTTCAAGCCCAACTTGGCCGCCAGCTTCTTGCGGTCCGGCTTGCTGATGTATTTCTGCTTCTGGAACATCTTCTCCAGCGCCTTGCGCTGCACGTCGGAGAACACGGCTCGACGCAGCATGCCCCGGCGAGGCTTGCCGCGGGCGGCCAGCGGCCAGGAGAAGGTCCCGGGGATGGGCACGACGCTCGAGGACGCTGCGGAGGGTGGGGGGTTGCGAGTAAGGGGGAGGTAGCGGCCGCCCTCGGTTTTTCTCTCTGATCCCTTCATCCCTTTAAAGCTCTCCTTTTTCTCCCCCTGGAGAATAGGCCACGAACCCACAAACCTGTGAGAGTGAAAGGCGCTTTCCGCCCAAATAACTTTCCCTTTCAACCGTGCAAACCCGGATTAGGTAAAACCACGGACACTCAGAAAACAGCCCCCACAATAGCCTGTTTCATTTATTTCCATTCAACGGTCTCAGGGAAACAAATCTGCGTACATTAGCTAAAACAGCAACAGAAAAAATAAATTACAAAAATTAAAATATCCAGCTGAGGCCACTTGGTTTCCCCCTTAAGCCTTTATCACCTTCGTGGCTTTTGCATTCTTCAGATGAAAAGGAGGTGCTTTACTGGTTTGGTAGAGAGGAGAAAATCCGCTTTGGATTTTTTTTTGAAAAATCCAATCGGTATTCATCTTTTTTATATTAATCTTTCCTCCCCTCCCCCACAAAACGTAAAGAATTCAGCCCGAATACATGAAAAGTGGCAGCTAATTAGCACATTGACCGCTTCCCAATGGGTATTGGCATGATAAAAAGGGGGAGAGTTTCGCTTTAAGGGAGGGGGAAAAACCCAAAAAGAAACAGAGACTCTAATGAAGCATGAATGGTAATTGTGTAGTAATGAACTAACAGAAAAAGACTGAGGACAAGCAGCGAAAGCCATATATTACTGGGACAAAAGAGATTTACACTTTCAAACTAAACACAACTGCAGGCCAAGACCATTGGGAGAATACTGATGGCAGAGGCTTCTCTTCCCCGAATGGTTTTCATTAAATGGACATGAAAAGCTATTTATAAAGCTCGGGTTGTTTTTGTTAGAGCATTGAGATGAGGGAGAAAGGAAGCAAATTCCATTATCAGCAGCAGCGTGAATGGTGGAGGTGGTGGGGGTGGTTGGTGAATTCTCTCCCCCTTTCAAAAATCAATTGCTTGTTTCTTTCGCTGATATTTAGGAGTGCGCTCAGTGGCTTTACCCATCCCCCACCGACCATGCCCAGTCTCTCTTCTCTTTATAGGGGCTCCTCTGTCTCCTTCTGAGTATCTATCAGTTGCAGAATTTTTGAGCCAGAGTTTGAGTCACCACTGGGATTCCAGGATGAAAACCTCGTGGAACCTGTTTAAGGTGTTTCTCCTTTAGACTGGGACCAATTATGGGCTTCCCTCCTACTTCTTATTTTACAAGCTCTACGGTTCTTAAAAAGTAATGGCGGGGTGGGGGGAGGCGGTTTGCGAAGAGGTTGGGAAATCAGGTTGGAAATAGAAGGTTGGGGTTGTGGGAGGATCTAGTCCCCCTCCCCCTGGGCGACTCCAGGCGTCCCACACAAGAGGGCACCCCATGTGGTCTTGTGAAAAGCCCGAAGCCCTGAATGGGTCTTAAAGAGAAATTAGCCCCGGCTGGTAGGTGTCTCTCGGCGGCTTGGAAGGACGAGGGCCGGTCTGTGTGTGGCTGCCCGGAGGAGCTGACCAATTGGTCATGGTGCTGAAACCTTTGTAGGGAATCGTGGCCAAGTGCACTGACTCTGTGGGAAAACGGCGTCGTGAAGGGATGCCAACAGCTCCTCGCCGGGAAGGGAACCGCCTCAAATTGGGACCATGACAATTCCTGCTAATTTGTAGAGCAGGGAATTGGTGCAAAGTGTCAAGCAGTCACTGCTTGTGCTAAATAGGGCATCAAATTGGCGCGACGGATTCGTGAATGTTGTACGCCTCGCAACCTCTGAACCAGAGCGTAACCCCGAGGGGTGGACGGAGAAATATGGCTTCGGGGCAGGGAGCGATGGGCTGGGACTGGGGCGCCGCCCAGCCTCGCGAAAGGAAGGGGGACGAGACCTACCTGGGAAATAAGAAGATCTGATGAAAGGCTGGAAGGAGCCTTCAAAGTAGGGAAAGGCGAAGGTCTTGGGAGGGACGCTCTGGAGCAAGGCAGGAGATGATTCTGGGAAAGAGGGAGGGAGGGAAAAGAAGAGGGAGGGAGACAGAAAGGGAATTTGATTATGTACTTGATTATTGTACAGCACACTGAATACATGATATGATTAACCCTCCGGCTGTTTCAAAGGCGTCTTCTTCAATGTATTGAGAGAGTAAAGTAAATCTTTTCCAGCATTTTCTCGTCTGTGGAAATCCCTCCTTTCTCCCCCAAAATAGTCCTCAGAGTCGCCTCCCGTCCCCAATCTCATCCTAGGCACTAACGAGATAGGTAGGACTGAGGCGGGGAATAAAAGAATTGTAGATCCATAATAATAGCTAAGCTAGTAAATATATTGTCTTGGGTTTAAAAAACTGCCTGCTAGAAGCTGGAGGGCAGAAACCCAGACGCTCGGGGGCGTGCGCTCAGCTTCGCTGCTGCAGGGAACTGTGCGCTCTCTCCTACTGCAGGTGCTCAAGTTCATCCTGAAGGTGGGGCGAACCTGGAAGCTTTTCTTAGGCTGGACCTAAGACTCACATTGCGCGACGTGGGGCCTCGGAGATCGTGCTTACGCGTAGGCGCCGATGTGTGCGTGGGTACCCGCTGCATACAGGAAACTGAGGCCAGAAAGACTCCGCACCTGGACCGGCCCTCAGCGTTTTGCGTTTACTTACCTCTGGGCGCCGAGGAGAGGATGGCGTTTACCCCAAACTTCAGAAACGTGGGCTCGCTGGCAGGGGAGACGGCCGTCTGCGGAGAGCCTCCCCGCCGGCTGCCCGGACCGGGGGAGCCCAGGTCCGAGGCCCCGGTGTCCGTGAGAGCCGCAGGGGCCCCCTGCCTAGGGGGCGACATGCTGGCGGTGGGTACGCTGCGGGGCAGGTAGGCGGGGGGCCGGCTGATGCGGATCAGATCCTCCACCAGGAAGCTCGAGTGGCCGGAAAATGCCGACTGCAGGGACTGGGGCAGCGTTAAGGTGGGCGTGGGGCGTAGGAGGCTGGGGTACCCGGCGGGGGGCGCGAGGAGGCCAGGGAACATCATGTTAGGCGCGGGGCGGGCGGAATAACCCTTCTTCCAGTAGCCGGAGGGTAAATGCCTCGCTTCCCGCCCCTCCCGCCCCCGCGGTGCCCTCTCTTGGGTTTAGTAAACGTCTCCAAGTGACGATCCCACTTGGGCGTCTGTGAGTCCTCCGTGGTCCTCCCGTCGAGGTGATGGTTTTATAGTGGCCCGCCCGTTAAAGCTCTTTGAAAAGTGACAGCTCTGACAATGAAGTTCAACAAAGTTCTCCACTCGAGCTTCATTCGCCGAGGCTCTGGGCGCTCTGATTGGCGCAGGGGTGCAATTTATGATTGGATTAGTCTTCATAAGCATGGCCCGCACAATGGGCCGGCAACAAAGGCTGGCGCGCATCAATTCTGCATATCGACCGCCCCTTTGCAATACAGTGCACTCCCAAAGCTCTCGCCGGGAGTTTTTGTTCCGAAGCAACCCCCGGGCTAATTAAATGCCTATTTAGAAGTTTCAGATGACATCTTGCCCCATAGAAAAGGAATTATTTAAAGAACGCACTAAATTTATTTGCAGCTCCCCTGCTGAGCCTGGAAAATAAATCGATAAATATTCATAGAAATTCATCTCCAGGCAATCAGTAAAATAACCCTCCCCCCTTGTGGAGAGGGCAACGGAAAATTTCAAGTCAAGAAACATGAAAATATACTCCCTCTTAAGTCTCTAGCCCTATAGTCACTCCAGCTAAGGCAGAAAGCAGATGTGAGGGGTCGGTTAAATTAATGTGTGTGGGGTGGGGGAGGAAGGGAAGTGCCATTCTAACAACCCAGGGAGACTTGGCAATTGACGCTTTGGGGCTATCGGATGTGCGTTCACAGGGGTGGAGGGGAGGTCTTGATTTGAGTTACTTCATGTCTGGAGACGACTGAGTCTGATTTGGTGGATACCTGAACAGTAAAATAAGTCTCCTGCAAACACCCAGCAACTTGGAAAACGATTTTCAGCGGCGTTTCTCTAGAAGTGTCGCTCGGAGCGCTCCGCAGTTTGCCTGGGGGAGGAGCGGAGCGGAGCGTCTCACCCAGCAAAGGCGCGGAGTTCCACTTGCAAAGGGCTTACCGCTGCCGGAAGCTGCCGCAGACTAGGAGGCCTGAGCGCTGTGAGCGCAACGCTGGCTCTTTTCCAACCTCTGGGAGCCCTCGGCAGTTTCAGTTGAAACTCACAGCCTGAACCTTTAAAGCCGGAGCAGCGAAGGCTGGGATTCGTCCCGAGAGAGCCTTACCCCTGCGGGGCGCGCGACTTGGCCGAGGTCTTGCAGCTTCTTAATTAACTGCAACGTACAAACGCGTGAAAACAGAGCGAGGGACGCAGTTACCAAGAATGTCGGTCCGTATCAGGAAAGCCTGTCCTTAATTTGGGGCCTCAGACGAGAATCTTTCTCCAGACAGCCCTTCGCTTTCCTCTGGGTTGGGCCTGCGTCGGCGCTGAGCCTCGATTCCCCGGTTTCTCTGCTCCGCGAGATAACAGATGTGTTAAATGTCCCATTCATTTCTTTAGTGCGGCTGAACCTCCCCAAAGAGAAGTGTGCAGCCCCGCCAGGCCGCCCTGATCCTATTAACCATGAACTAACTGTCACCTTCAGCTGGTTTTCCTTTTTGCTTTTTAACACAAAGCTTTCTCAAAAAATCTTATTAACCAGCTTTATTTCTCTCGATGGTTTTGTTCAGGGCGTTTTGTGTTGGTGATCGCCATGTCGCTGCTTTAACCATTCAATAAAAGTGCATCTGCGATTTATATCACATTAAACCAGAAACGGAGCCGGCTAACGCTCTCCCTTGATTCAAATTAAAAAGTTATTTAGGGCAGGGCTCTGGAGCCGAATTAATGCTGGAAGATGACGCAAGTGTGGAGTTTCTGAGCCCAAGACTTCTTACGCAGGCGTCCTGGGCGGCAGGCGGTAGAATACCACTAAGGAAAGGAACAACTTTTAAATAAGTGGCTACTTAAATATGGGAAATGCATTGCTCGAGTTAATTGGCGACCCCTGAAAACGGAAGAGGGAGATCTGCGAAGAACCTCAAACGTTCCTCTTTTTGAAGTTTTCCAATAAAATGGGGGAGAAAAGTCTAAACTACGGATTTGAACACCTGTGCTTTAACCTTGCCCCCAGAGAAAAGTTTTCCATCGCGATCACCCCCCTCCTGGCAACTGCTTTCTGGAAGCAGGAGGAACGGCTTTAGTTTTTGCATTCTCTCCTTCCTTCTCTTCTCTTTTTCCTCCTTCACTTCCTCCTCCTCTCTCACTTTCTCCTCTTCCATCTCCTCCTCCTCCTTCTCCTCCACTCCATTCCACCCTCCCTCCCTGCCCTGAGCAGTTGCTAGTTCCCGGAAGGAGGAGAGGGGCGACTACAGGTGTTGGATTCCCCCATCGAGGAAGCGCTTGCCCAGTCTTCCGGAAGATCAGGATGGAGCCTATGTTTGCAGGGTTTTGTTTTGAGGGGCAGTAAGGACTCAAAGCCAGTCTGGGGCCTTCCTCGTGCTTCTCCCTCTCTAGACCTCCTCTCCTGCTGGGGCATTTCCCTGGGTGTAGTTTTTACAGTTATTATCCTGCCCATTGACACGCTCCATAACACCGCCCCCACACACACACCGGCCATTCCACCTCACTATAGACTAACTGCTGCTAACTTCTCTTCTTTTACAAGGAAGCCCTGACATTTTTTGGAAGGTGGGTCAACCCCTTGCTGCGATCCACGTGGACCCTGCTTCCAGCAGTCGGTCTCCGTAGCCTCCTAAAGAATTCCTAAGGCGCCAAAGAGGCAAAGTGAGGGCGGGGGCGAGGGCTGGCCGTCCGTGAAAAGGCAAAATAAATCCTAAGCAAGCAAGAAATCGGACGAAAGGATCTTATTTTAGGTGATCTCCTTGAACGCGTCTTTTCAAACTCTGCGATAGCCTAAGGGGCTGCGCGGCGCGGCGGCTGCGTCTAAGACCTGTGACTAATGCCGTTTGACCTGAGCCCACGGGGTTTTGTGCGTCCTGCCATTCATTGTAATGTCGTTATCTTCAAGTTTATTTCGGAGACGTCACCCGCGTTCTCTATCCCAGAGTTGGGCTTTCTGTCTATTTGTCTTTCAAGGGGAAAGACGATGGGAGGGGAAAAGAGAATCGGAGGCCCTGGTTGGGGTTAAGGTCCTTGCCTGCGCCACGGGCGCGACTGCTCGCTGGGGGAGCCTGCCGCGGAGATGGCTGGGGCTCCCGGGGCCTACGAGGCCTTCCTGGGACAGCAGGAAGGGCTCTCGGAACCCGCTCTGGAAGTTTCTTTCTCCCGGGGCAGTGGAGAGCGAGCGGGTCGCAGCCCCACACTCCGCGCTCTCGCCATTGCGCGCCCTCGCCAGTGTTGGCGGAGCCCGGAGCGCCTGGGTAAGCGCAGACCATGCAGGGAGGCGAAGGGCGCTGCAAAGTAAGAGTGCCTTGAGATTCCCCTTCTTCCGAAAAGATAACGAGCGTAAGTTTGGGAAGATTGGGAACCCAAGGTCGCACTTTGCAAGAGTTCGAACCCCCAGACCTCGGCGCTCGCGGCTGGAGCTGCCAAGAGAGAGCGCTCTGCGAGTTTGGCAGGACGCCGGGCGGTGGCGACGGGAAAAAGCGCCCGCCGCCTGGCTTTTACGGTCCCGGGAAAACACAGGAAGCCGACCGGCTAGGCAAAGGAGGAGGGCGGCGAGGCTCGGGCTGAAACAGCTTTCCTACACCCCAGCCCTCTAGGCAAGCCGCTCTATTAAGACACCTCTAAGGGGTTCACCTTCAGAATAGGCCACAAGGAGCTACCGGCCGCCCCAGCCCTTTCTAGTGTCGCACCCACCTCTCTTTCCTTTCACACTCACTCCCCCCTTTTTCCTTGAAAATCCTTCTATTGTGCCAATCAAGCAGATGGTTTGCAGGAAATATAGCTTGGCCTCGCTGACCGAAACTAATTTTAACTAGCTTTCCAAGCCTGAAACGTTTGTTTTGCTCTTACAAAATAGCCCCCAAAACAGCTGGCAAGGGTGAATTAAACCCATTAAAGACACATTTATAAGAAATTATATTCACATAGATTGCCTGAACCCCCTTGTGCAGCCTAAGAGGGGAGATGAGCGCATTTAAATGAAAATGTCGACGAACGCTCCCCTCCTTAACGTAGCCTGAAAGTCTCAAAACATTTTACTAAATAGATTAACTTGACTATTGTCTTGCATCACATTTATCAGCTTCATTAAGTGAATAGCTGAACAAATATATTACGCATGCATGAAAAGCTCTTTTTTGAGGAACCTCATTGTATCCTCAGCCCTGACAGGTGGTTAACTGTGTGTTGTGTTTTTTTGTGGGTTTTTTGTGTTTTCTTTCTTTCTTTTTTATTTTTAAACCCGAAGAAAGAGGCTCTCTGCAGAGCGGCGCGGCGCGCAGTGCAGGCCTGGCGGGAGTTGAATTCGCTGCTGGGACCCTGCAGCCCAGCGATATTAACACCAAAAGGAGTCGGCAAAGGCGATCTGAGCGCACGCAAGATAATCAAAATGAACTTTCGGAGAGCCGGGCCTTGAGTGCTTTTTCTCGCCATCACTCAGCCCTGTTGTCTGAGAAGTTAATTTTATCCTCTGTCCTTAAAAATAAATAGCCTCTGCTTTTCCTGCTTAACCGGCTCTCCGCAGACTGCGGGGTTAAATATGCTTTTAACTCACATTTGGATCCATTTCACTTTACTGTGTGTCTTTAGGTGAAGTCCTTGTCTTCTGGGCCTCAGTGTCCCTGTGCGTAAAACGAGGGATTGCCCTGGAAAGCTCTCTAAGGGCCCTTTCAGATCTAACCTTCTAAGCTTTAAAACTCGCAGCTCTTTGTCGCCCCACAGCGGGCCCCAGCGTCAGGCCCCCCGCCGGACATCCCCAAAAGAAGGCACTTCCGGGTGCCTGGGGCGCTCTCTGCGTGGAAGGATGGAGCGTGGAGTGAGTCGGGGCTTCGGGGCAGATCGGCCTGGCCGGAGGACTGCGCGGAAGCGGCGTCTGCTCCTCAGGTCTCTCGGGGCCCTCGCATCCCGCCCAGCATCCCTCCTCGCGAGCAGCCAGTCTCCTGTCCTGGTCCCGCCACGAGGTGCGGCCGGACCCCAGGTGTACTCCCTGGCTCGCTCCTCTGGCCCTGGCCTCGCCTTGGAGCTGTTTTAATTACCAGTTGCGGCTCCACAATGAACCCTTCCTCACCGCCCACCGCCTCCCCCCGCCCCACCTTCTTTTCCCTTCCCCGTGGCCCCGAGTTGGAACTGTTGATTTTCTGTACAGAGTCTTTCTGGATAA